CAGTGTCGTGCCCGAAGGGCTCGGCACAACTTCACAAGAAACACTTTTCTCGGTTTACTTTGCATTCAGCTGCTCTCGATACACTTTGATGTAAAAGTTGTGCAGAGCCCTTCGGGCACGACACTGTTTGAGATTCATCAAGGCGAAATTGAGTCGAAAACGCAGGTTTTTACGCCTCAGCAGTGTCGTGCCCGAAGGGCTCGGCACGACTTCACAAGAAACACTTTTCTCGGTTTACTTTGCATTCAGCTGCTCTCGATGCACTTTGATGTAAAAGTTATGCCGAACCCTTCTGGCACGACACTGCTTGAGATTAATCAAAGCTAAATTGAGTCGAAATGCAGGTTTTTGCGCCTCAACCAGTGTCGTGCCCGAATGACTCGGCACAACTTCACAAGAAACACTTTTCTCGGTTTACTTTGCATTCAGCTGCTCTCGATACACTTTGCTGTAAACGTTGTGCAGAGCCCTTCGGGCACGACACTCCTTGAAATTCATCAAGGCGAAATTGAGTCGAAAACGCAGGTTTTTACCCCTCAACCAGTGTCGTGCTCGAAGATCTTGGCACAACTTTACAAGAACATTTTTCTCGGTTTACTTTGCATTCAGCTTCTCTCGATGCATTTTGATGTAAAAGTTGTTCCGAGCTCTTCGGGCACGGCACTGGTTGAGATTAATGAAGACGAAATTGAGTCGAAAACGCAGGTTTTTACCCCTCAACCAGTGTCGTGCTCGAAGATCTCGGCACAACTTCACAAGAAACACTTTTCTCGATTTACTTTGCAATCAGCTTCTCTCGATGCACTTTGATGTAAAAGTTGTTCCGAGCTCTTCGGGCACGACAGTGGTTGAGATTAATCAAGACGAAATTGAGTCTAAAGCGCAGGTTTTTACGACTCATCCAGTGTCGTGCCCGAAGGGCTCGGCACAACTTCACAAGAAACACTTTTCTCGGTTTACTTTGCATTCAGCTGCTCTCGATACACTTTGATGTAAAAGTTGTGCAGAGCCCTTCGGGCACGACACTGTTTGAGATTCATCAAGGCGAAATTGAGTCGAAAACGCAGGTTTTTACGCCTCAGCAGTGTCGTGCCCGAAGGGCTCGGCACGACTTCACAAGAAACACTTTTCTCGGTTTACTTTGCATTCAGCTGCTCTCGATGCACTTTGATGTAAAAGTTATGCCGAACCCTTCTGGCACGACACTGCTTGAGATTAATCAAAGCTAAATTGAGTCGAAATGCAGGTTTTTGCGCCTCAACCAGTGTCGTGCCCGAATGACTCGGCACAACTTCACAAGAAACACTTTTCTCGGTTTACTTTGCATTCAGCTGCTCTCGATACACTTTGCTGTAAACGTTGTGCAGAGCCCTTCGGGCACGACACTCCTTGAAATTCATCAAGGCGAAATTGAGTCGAAAACGCAGGTTTTTACCCCTCAACCAGTGTCGTGCTCGAAGATCTTGGCACAACTTTACAAGAACATTTTTCTCGGTTTACTTTGCATTCAGCTTCTCTCGATGCATTTTGATGTAAAAGTTGTTCCGAGCTCTTCGGGCACGGCACTGGTTGAGATTAATGAAGACGAAATTGAGTCGAAAACGCAGGTTTTTACCCCTCAACCAGTGTCGTGCTCGAAGATCTCGGCACAACTTCACAAGAAACACTTTTCTCGATTTACTTTGCAATCAGCTTCTCTCGATGCACTTTGATGTAAAAGTTGTTCCGAGCTCTTCGGGCACGACAGTGGTTGAGATTAATCAAGACGAAATTGAGTCTAAAGCGCAGGTTTTTACGACTCATCCAGTGTCGTGCCCGAAGGGCTCGGCACAACTTCACAAGAAACACTTTTCTCGGTTTACTTTGCATTCAGCTGCTCTCGATACACTTTGATGTAAACGTTGTGCAGAGCCCTTCGGGCACGACACTGCTTGAGATTCATCAAGGCGAAATTGAGTCGAAAACGCAGGTTTTTACCCCTCAACCAGTGTCGTGCTCGAAGATCTCGGCACAACTTTACAAGAAACACTTTTCTCGATTTACTTTGCATTCAGCTGCTCTCGATGCACTTTCATGTAAAAGTTGTGCAGAGCCCTTCAGGCACGACACTGCTTGAGATTCATAAAGGCAAAATTGATTCGAAAACACGTGTTTTGACGCCCCATCCAGTGTCGTGCCCGAAGGGCTCGGCACAACTTCACAACAAACACTTTTCTCCGCTTACTGTGCATTCAGCTGTTCTCGATGGAGTTTAATGTTAAAGTTGTGCACGATACTGCTGAAGATTGATTAAGAAGACGAAACTGAGTGGAAAACAGACGGTTTCACACCTCAGCCAGTGTGATGCCCGAAGGGCTCGGCACCGCTTTACACTAAACACTTCCCGATTTACTTTGCATGCCGATGCTCTCGATGTAGGTTGATGTAAAAGTTGTGCAAGAAGTCAGTTCGCTGCTCTCAACAACATTTTCAATTTAAAACGGCTGTCCGGGCAGAGAATACGACATCAATCAGGCAAAATTCTTGGCGAGAGAATCCCATTTCGAGCCGAAAACAAACCAGAAAGAATTTCCTTTGCCTGCCTCCTCCTCCTCCAAAGCAGATGGATAAAATAAAACCGCCAACAGGCAATTCTGTGGGTTGATAAAAGCCATTACTGGGCGACTCACCTGAAAAGCTTTTAATTTTTTTTTTGGTCTGGAATGTTTTTGATTACACTTCGTGACGGGTTTTTAGTTAGTAAATCGGGTTTCGGTATTGGAAGCCCGGTTGACTAAGTATTGAGATTCTCGGGAATTTTGCCTGCCGGAGGAGGCAATTTTTGACGACGTATTGGAAATTATTGCGATTAACCAGATTTTACCGAACATGTGAATGCAGTGGACTAAAACGGCATTTCTTCAGGAACATCCGAGGCAACAAAGCCACTATTCGCTGTTAGTTAGACAGCAAGAAAACAAACAATCGCATAGCGAATTTAGTCTAAAAACGACGACAACATGAAAACAGAACACCAACTAAGCATTAAAGGATTCGCTTGATGTGCCATGCTTTCAGGTGAACCTTTCCATGCTAAAATGGGGGCGCGCTTTCATCATGATGTGTAATTGAATGTCAGCGCCAGACTCCTCGTGCAATATTTTAAGCCTGTTTGTTCATATCTACAATTACATAGATAGACAAACGGGGTATCTATCTGTTTGCGAAATTTTGACGTATTCGATTAATGCGTCCGGGATCGATGGAGCTGCGAAGAAAATTGGACGCTGATTGCAGCCCTCTAAATGGAAAAACACGAAAACTTTCCGCATTAACACGTTCAGTGGCCGGATAAATCACCAGCATCACTAACGAATGAATTCTGGATGATCCATAAAGGCATCAAAAAGGGCGTTAAGAACATTTCGGGATAGACGGTTATGGCAGTTTTATTCGCCTATAAAATGTCCTGTCAACGACGGTTTTCTTTTATTCTCCTCCCGTATTGTCTAGAGAAAACCTAAAGGAAAGTTCCGGGTTTAAATAGAGTGAGCACGGATGGAAACAGTGAAACATTAATCGAGGCAAACAAGCAATAAATTCCACAATTATCGCCTTAGTATGGAAAAAACAACCGGGCAGTAGATTTAGTTGATTAAAAAGCAGCCAACATCGGCCAGATTTACCCGTAACAAAGCGCTGTTAATTTCAGCAAAGGATTTGTATTTTTAACTGCATATGCATCAGTTTTTCCTTCTTTTCCCGCTTGCCCAGGGAAATTTATGACTTTATCAAATTTATGACCCGGTATTTGCCAAATAAGGGCCCATAAATTGCGCACAGTATCTCAGGGAGGGAAATGCCTGCTTCAGCAGTTGGGGTTCCGTATCGGCATTGCAAAGTCAAATTCAATGAAACTGTTGAACATCAACCTCCAAATCCCCGATAGGGGGATTAAAAAAAAGTGGCAAATCAACTGGATCTAGTTAATTCCCGGAGTAACATGCACAAAAGCCCGCCTCAGTAATTTCACACATTCGACTCATACTTTTCCATGTTTGAGTCATTTTCATGTCCCACACTCTCGTAAATCACTCAACGAAAATTATTCCGGACACTTCACACGAGAAGGCCTGATTTGTTCGAGCATGCGGCCGTTAAATATGCCGGTAGATGCACGTAACTGTATATTTCTGTTCCAGATCCGCCGGAAATCACCGTGGAAAGGCCTTTGGTGTATTCGGGCGAGGGGATGGAAGCTCAACTAGTTTGCATCGTGCATGGCGAAAATCAACCCGAGGTAAGCTTTTCATCTACACAGTAATTAGATTAATCCTCCTGGTCCTGTTAAAATGGTCCTTCGCTCCGAATGTTTTCCGCCCGTTCGTCAAAAAATAATCACGTGCCCAAATCGTATTAGGCATACAAACAAACTCGGTAAAATGCGTGAGTTCTACCGGATTAATCAGCGCTACGAAAATAATCCGGATGTAGTTTAATATGTATGACTTTGCTACACGTTGGGCTTTTTATTCCGACTTGATGCACGTCGTCGCTTTTAAAGCTGACATTCTTTGTTGCATACGCTACGGAAGCACTTTTTAAAATAAAATTGTTTCCAGCAGCAAAACATTGTCCCTGGGAATTAACAGCGAGTTAACGTGCAAATCCGTTAGAATAACTAGAAAAATGTGCGAGCAAAGTGCGGTGTGGGCTGCTCTTCATACGGAATCACTTCATAAGTGTGTATTCAGTACAGCAGAAAGTTGATCAGCTTAATCACGAATAAACACCTCGTTTTTCATTCCAAATTCCATAAGTTCTCTACTGAAGCGTGGACTTAATTAATTACACTTTTGGTCCAAGACCATGAAGGATTTTTGCTTAAGTGAATATGATCGGTTCTAGTTCAAGTTCAAGCTCGAATGTAACTGCTGAAGTTACGAGTTAAGCGGCTTTTCGAAACCCAGATTTCCATATCTGAAGCGATGTTTTAGCTGAGCTTAAATCATGAGCAAAATATTCCCAAAGTTTAAAAATTAACTCCGAAAAAAGTTAATTTTGGAAACCTGTCCAAAGCCAAACTTATCCAAAGCCAAACTCAGCAAAGCAAAGAGAAAGAAGTTCAAAGTATCCATGAACGTTCTGCAAGCTGGCGCCCTATCCTCTATTTTCTACCCATAAATCCACACTTTCTAGTGACCTGCAACTACTGCATTTGTCATAAGGTCCACAATCATTCTATATTTCTCATCTAAGAATGCGATTATCGACCGATTTCGTCCCCTGTCATTTTCGGCACATTTTAAGCGTTTTTTTTTGACGATTTCTTCCTTATTATTGATGCAAACGCTTCATAAATGCATATTTGTGATCGTCTTACGTCGAAAGGAATCGATTGAGCTGAAAAAACACGCATGTGAAATTTAGATTTTTGACCGAAGTTTTTCCAAGGGTGGTCGATTTTTTGAAAAAATAAAAATTTTCTCAAAACATCTTAAATTTTACATCATTTTCAGCTCCCGGACGCGAGCAATGCTATTGTAAAACATGCTAGAAGTTTCAGATCTGAAAAAATAGACATTTTCGGCACATTTTAAGCGTTTTTGGAGCGTTCACGATCTTTAACCGACGATTTCTCCCTTATTGTATCCAAACGCTTTAAAAATGCATGTTTATGATCTTCTTACGTCGAAAGGAATCGATTGAGCTCAAAAAACACGCATGTAAAATTTTGATTTTTGACCGAAATTTTTCCAAGGGTAGAGGTGAATTTTTTGCAAAAATTAAAATTTTCTCAAAAAGCCTTAAATGTTGCATCATTTTCAGCTCATGGACGCCAGGAATGCATCGAACTCATTGTAAAACATGCTAGATGTTTCACATCCGAAAAAATAAACATTTTTGGCACATTTTAAGCGTTTTTTGAGCGTTCGCGATCTTTAGCCGACGACTTCTTCCTTATTATTGACCCAAACACTTTATAAATGCATATTTATGAYCTTCTTACGTCGAAAGGAAKYGATTGAGCTCAAAAAACACGCATGTGAAATTTTGATTTTTGACCGAAATTTTTCCAAGGGTGGAGGTCGATTTTTTGCAAAAATTAAAATTTTCTCAAAATGCCTTAAATGTTGCATCATTTTCAGCTCATGGGCGCCAGAAATGTATCGAACTCATTGAAAAACATGCTAGATGTTTCAAATCCGAAAAAATAAACATTGTTGGCACATTTTAAGCGTTTTTTGAGCGTTCGCGATCTTTAACCAACGATTTCTTCCTTATTGTTGACTCAAACACTTTATAAATGCATATTTATGATCTTCTTACGTCGAAAGGAAGCGATTGAGCCCAGAAAACACGCATGTGAAATTTTGATTTTTGACCGACATTTTTCCAAGGGTTTTCGATTTTTTGAAAAACGAAAATTTTTGCTTAAGTGAATATGATCAGTTCTGGTTCTAGTTCAAGCTCGAATGTAACTGCTGAAGTTTGCGCCATAACTGCGAGTTAAGCGGCCTTTCGAGACCCACATTGCCATATCGGAAGCGGTGCTTTAGATGAGTTTGAAACAAAAAATTCAAAGTAGCCCAAAATATTCCCAAAGTTTAAACATTAACTCCGAAAGAAGTTAATTTTGGAAATCTGTCCAAAGCCAAACTTATTTGAAATCAGCAAATCAAAGAGAAAGAAGTGCAAAGTATCCATGAAACTTCTGCTTTCTGCCAGCTGGCGCTCTATCCTCCATTTTCTACTCATAAATCCCCACTTTCTAGTGACCTGAAACTACCGCACTTGCCATAAGGGCCACAACGATTCTATATTTCTCATCTAAGAATGCGATTATCGACCGATTTCGTCCACTGTCGGTACTTTTTCGAGAAAAAAAGACTCCCAACTATAGACTAAACATTATTATGTAGTAATTTGCGGCTTTGCGCTTTCGCTGATTCATGCTTTACTTAGAAGTTCGATTTCAGTTAGTTTACTGTTGACATTTTTGTAGAAAGTGATTGTTCAAAATTAGTAAAGGGATCAATTTCGGTTTTCCAAAAATATTGACTAGACAAGAAGCCGCGAAGAAATCAATTCAAAATCAAACTGTTGCTCAACTTGCAACTAATGTAAAATATCCTTTCAAAGTTTTGATTTCCCGAATTACTCCACCACAAGCGCAACTCGAGGTGAGGCGCGATGAGTTTTAACTCGCCCACTCACGGAGCGGCATCAACTCAAAAGCGCAACTCAACACAGTGTCAATCAGGCCCCATTCTCAACGAATTCCATTATCCGCCCGAATTTTTTAAGTACACTCGATCAAATTTTTAAATCCAAAGAAAGTTCAGCGCGCACTCGAGGCCAGCGAAGTTAATCTGCAAGATTTATTATTCGAGCAATGTTCTAACACTAACAAATCATTTTTCTCTGTGAAAATCAAACAGGTTAGAAGGAAAAGAGGCGAACCGGTTTTTCGCTTAGCTCGCGGATTTAGGGCTTCAAATGTCCGGGTTAATGACTAATGTATGATCAGTTTAACCATGTGGTCAATATTAGAAGACTTTATTGTCGTGGCCCGACTAATTTGCGTTTGGATGCTAAATGCCGACTCTCAGGAAATCAAAATCCGGTTGGATTCGAATGCGAAAAGCTGCCGCTCACAGTAGCTAAAACAGGTCGGGGATAAAGTGGAACCCACATGCATAATGGTCGAAGAGAATTCCGGGATCTCCGGCTAAATCGAGATGGAAGGTTAATTGGATTTCGTGCTAAATAAAACAGAAACGGGCGAATTCCTCCACTTGATTACTCATATGTATAATTCTTCTTTGTTTTCACGGTCGAGCGGAATAGAGTTGCTCGGAAGCTTCGGGAAAATATTAGTTTACCGAACGGAGGGTGGATTTTTCGTTAGCAACGATTGGATAATTTGCAAAGGCCCGCTCGAACGTTTCCAATCAACTGTCTTCATCGATTATGCTGGGATTTATAAATGCAGCAATGCATCAAAGGCCACATTGCTGACTGGAAACCACTGAAAAGCAGGCATTTTTTTCAGATACATCACGTCAACCGAGCTGCCCCGAGGGCCAACATCAAAGCTAATTAGTTTTTGTGTGAGCCAGAACAGAAAATGTAACCGATCATCAATTACCCAATATATTTGCTTTATTCAAAAACAGAGGCCGAATTATTCATAAATTACCGGCGGATGTCCAGGTTGTATAGACGAAAGATAAAAAATGGCTTTTGGCTGGAAATGTTGCACACCGAAATGGGAAGTTCTTGTCTCAACGAGGTGTGGCGGATTGCCAATCATGCATGATGAAAATTCCTTTGTTATCGGGGCGCATTTTTCGGGCTGAATTTCAATATGAAAACGACTAATTACATCGACAATCTCCCATTCTTGTACAAGGCGAGCCCGAATTCGCAATAAGCGCAAATTGCGAACTTAATCTCGTTTTAAATTCCGAACCGAATTTCTTTTATGACTTCGTTAAGGGGGGAAGTAAACTAAGATATTCAATATTCAGCGCGGTTCATTCAGCGACGTCGGAATGATTTTTCAGCAAAATTCCAATGACTTTGAATTTATAGCTAGAGCAGAAATGAAAAATATCCAATTATCTGGCCCGCTACCCAATTTACGGGCTTCGTCAAAGTATTTGATATTTATCGTTCCGATCGCAAACGGAAATGAATTCCGTGATTCTAAAATAAATTTCACACGAAACACACAATTATTAATATAAATGAATTGTGCGCCGCCTAAATGGGAGATTTTATTTCACCGGGGTCTAATGAAAAACGAACATCCTCGCCACTGTTATGGCCATTATTATCATCTCTATGTCCATGCACTTTGTGTATATATTTTTTACCCCGGAAAGTTATAATTACTTTCCGGGCTACAAAACGTTTCACTTCAGCTCTGATATGACAGGCATTAGTTAAAATATAAAAAAATCTGTACCTGACGCTTTTGCTTTTATTCTACCCGCTAAACCAAGCCCAATGCCAGTTTACTTTTGTTTCGTCTTTGAAAAAAAATAAATTGCTGATTCACATTTCATTTTGGTGGAACTGTTTTTAGTGATAAACCAAAGCGTCAAAGCTCGAGTAACAACGTTTTTCCAATTTTATCTAGCTGAATTAAGCTCATTAAACCGGATACGAACAGCATTTTTGTGCAACCCGATACTCTAGAGTTCAAGCTTTCGGCAGGGAAAAGCCCAAAGAGAACGAGCGGGAATGAAGATAATTTTTTTTCACTGGCTTCATTCCTTCTTACGTCGAAAGGAATCGATTGGGCTCAAAAAACACGCATGTGAAATTCTGATTTTTGGACGAAATTTTTTCAAGGGTGATGCTTGATTTTTTGAAAAAATGAAAATGTTCTCGAAATGTCTTAAATTTCAAATAATTTTCAGCGCACTGACGCGAGGAATGCATCGGACTCACTGAAAAACATGCTAGAAGTTTCAGATATGAAAAAATAGACATTTTCGGCACATTTTAATCGTTTTTGAGCGTTCACGATCCTTAATCGGCGATTTCTTCCCTATTATTGACCCAAACACTTTATAAATGCACATTTGTGACCTTTTACGTCGAAAGGAAGCGATTGAGCTCAAAAAACACGCATGTGAAATTTTAATTTTTGGTCTAAATTTTTCCAAGGGTAGGGGTCGATTTTTTGAAAAAAATAAAATTTTCTCAAAATGTCTTAAATTTTACATCATTTTCAGCGCACGGACGCGAAGAATGCATCGGACTCGTGTGGGAGTCGATTTTTTGGAAAAATAAAAATTTTTTCAAAATGTCTTAAAATTTAAATAATTTTCAGCACGGGTACGCGAGGAATATAATCGGACTCATTGAAAAACATGCTAGAAATCTTAGCTCCGAAATAATCGGCAATGGCGCGATTAAGCAAAGTGGCGCAAAACCTGTTAACCTTTCAACAAGTTTTTCGGTTAGAAATTGCTTAATTTGATCAATTACTCTGGTTTCTGACTGACAATGCTTCTATGCTCTGTTTTCCTTTGATAACAGCCAAATTAAAGGAAAATTGTGAAGCCGACAATTTCCTTTAAACAATATCATCGCAGATCGACAGGAGTCGAAGCGAACTTCCGAATTAACATTCTCGTTTCGTTAATAAACTCCACGTTCCGTTCCGACAGCACGTGAAAGTTTAATTCGAAAAACACATTATAATTCGGAATGTAAGTGGCGAGTTGCACAAAAACCAATCAAGCTTTCATCGAAATCTGCATAGAAATTCTGAAGCAATTTAGCATTTATGGAATAGTTTATTTAATTGGGTCCGTTTTGTTCCGTAATTGAAATTTAAATTTCAAACTTACGAATCCAATGGGTTTGATTTCGTCATTTTCAGTTAAAACGATGGCATTGTTTTCGTTTTCCCTAGTTTGGATCGAACGTTTCTTTGAATGTCTCTGTTTTACAGGGCGATCTTCAACTATCAGCAAAAATGATCGTTTCAGAGGTACAGGGTGGCAGATGGTTTCATTAAAATGTTCAATAATTCGATCAATCTGTAGTGCATTAATCAATCAATCAATCGAAGCTGCTCCCAGAAATTTCCTATTAAAGTTAAAGCATTTTTTGAGAAAACTGCCAACATTTTCCCATCCATGGTTCACTTTCTAAAAAGGCCATTTATTTCTGTCCAGAATGATGTACAAATGAGC